TTACATTTCCATTTCTGGTATACCAAAGGATATACAAGACCAATAAAAAGTTGTGGGACTAGGTGTCCTGCACTATACACAACAATAGGCATTGGGTTAGCAATAGGTTTTGTCAGATAGCAGCTGAGGGAACCCTTTGTATCATAATTCTCCATTTGATGGTTACAATGGTTAATCTGATGTTTCATGACCAAATTATACAATGTTTTTTCTATGATGGAATGTCTGCATGGATTTGTTGTGCATTTTTACTGTTTCTGGTGCAAAACTAGGATTTTTTTGCGTTTTTATACCACCTTTTTATCCAGTTTGCATCTACAAGATGCTCAAGAGACCTGTTTCATAGTAATTTTGATATCATTATTTTTTTTATAACATATATGCTAAATTTTCTATGTGTTCTAATCCAAGAAAGAAAAAATTTTTTGACGTAATAGTTAACAGGAGAGTGAGTGAAATGAGCAAGATGTGCTACACACGTCAATTAACGAAACTAGAAAAAACACTAAATTGATAAAATTTTCAAATTAAATATTTCTGCTACCTATATAAAAAGAAATAAAAAAATGTTATCTTATATCATTAACTATATCGCTAAAGCAATTTCATATCTAGATGATAGTAGGAATCCATTTGAGGATGGAGATTTAGTAGAAGTCAGAGAGATCATAGAGTATGTAGAAATATAAAAGAAATATAAGTGACCAAGAGCTAAAGCTATTTCATCTGGGAAATACACTAAAAATAAAGGAGAAAGGGTTCCAGACTGGAGAAGATGTATTATTCCAAAATACAATGAACTAAAGAACCGAAATTTAAATCCTGAGAGAGCAAGTATTACACTACTGATAGAATCAATAATTTTATAAAAGAAATAGAAGAAATCTAAGCAGAGAATCTTGGAACTTAAAACAATCAGCCCACGTAATTATTAATTTATTTTTTTACATCCCCTTTTACCAGGAGTTTTAGGCTTAGGAGGAGCACAAGTAGGAACAATTGCAAGTAGATTTGACACTTCAGATTCAAAGATTTCACCTAAGAAGTTATAGATTTTGAGAGCATCATCATATGAAGTTGCAGACATTATATTTATCTTCCCACTAGGCAAAATAATAACACAAGTTTTCTTTCCATTAGATTCAAATATAATTGAAAGCTTTCTGATAGATTCAATGGGATCAGCTTTATAAACGATTTTAAATGGAGGTGGATACAAATCACTAGTGAGAATAGAATCAAGCTTTGAAATATCAACTTGTAAATTAGAAGGTAATATCATATGATACTTAAAGTTTAATAAAGAAAGGCTACTCTTAATGATTTCAACTGATTCAAGTCCATTAGATTCTTTAAGATATGTAATAAAGGTTTGAACAGAAAGTTCACCAGATTGATAGTCTTCATCAATGACCCAAATACTTGTAAATTACCACTTTTAGGAAAATAGCACATTCTATAATGCTTTGAATCAATTAATATAATAAAGTCAAGGCAATATTGAAAACAAGTCACATCACCAACTTTTTTACATTCCTTGAAAAGAGGCATCGTCATCAAAATTTTTTTTTAGCAGTTAACTTCTT